ACCCTACAGACTGTGCAGGTGTGTATTGAGGAGGACAGTGTTGTCTGTGGGGTGCTCACCCTACAGACTGTGCAGGTGTGTATTGGGGAGGACAGTGTTGTCTGTGGTGTGCTCACCCTACAGACTGTGCAGGTGTGTATTGAGGAGGACAGTGTTGTCTGGGGTGCTCACCCTACAGACTGTGCAGGTGTATATCAAGGCAGCTTTGGCAGCAGCCTTTTGGTCATGTCCTTGTTTCTTCTTTTGTCCAGCCTGCTTTTTGGCATTCTTCTGCTGAGACTGAATCTTCTGCTGTCCACGAGCCATATCTAAAAACAAAAGAGTAGGCATCAGATTGCTTTCTTCATTCTAACACAGAGCAATTCAAGCTTTTCCTAAGTTTCTAGTGGTTTTCTTTAAGTAATTTAGTAACAGTCTCAGAGTTGACTACTTAAATTTTGTTTTTTTTTAAAATAATTTATTTATTTTTATTTCCTGTACAATTGTGTTTTACCTGTATGTATGTCTGTGTGAAGGTGTCAGATCCCCTGAACCTGGAGTTACAGGCAATAATGAGCTGCCATGTGGGCGCTGGGAATTGAACCTGGGTCCTCTACAAGAGCAACCAGTGCTCTTAACTGCTGAGCCATCTCTCTAGTCCTGACTCCTGACACACGTTCAACAGAATCAAATGTATGTACACCAAGGTGTATACAAAGAAGTTCATAGTGCTTGCTCTAAAATGAGAGATGGTTCAAAAATCAATCAGTTGTAAAAATAGGTAGCACACAGAGGAATGCCAGGCACCATTCAGAAATAATCATTTCTAGCCAGGCGTGGTGGCACATGTATTTAATCCCAGCACTTGGGGCAGAAGCAGGCAGGAAGATCCCTTGTGAGTCTGGGGTTAGCCTGGTCTACATAGAGTTCCAGGCCAGCCAGGGCTACAAAATGAGGCCCTGTCTCAAAAAATAAACAGAAACTATTTCTATAAGTTTGTATCTCAATGTCAAGGAAAGAAGGCAGTTAGAAAGAAACCATGTACAAAGTTCAGAACAGGCCAAGTCAAAGTTAAAGAGGTCACTTTGCTATTTATGGAGTGATGACTGGGAGATGACAGGAGGCATTCAGAGGGCGCTGGAGTGCTCTGTACCTTAACCCAGGTAATGACGATCATAAGGTACGTGTATCTGTTTTTAAAAATTCCATGAACAGAGCTGGGAATGGAGCCCAAAGCCCCCCTCTCAGCAACTGGGAGGCAGAGGGAGGAAGGCCTCATGCTCTGGCCAACCTGACCTACAAAGCAAGACCACATCCCACCCCCCAACGACTCCTAAGTTTATTGAGCTGTATGCATTCCTAAATTTTTTTTTCACTTTACTGATGTAGTGCTCCAAAGTTTAGTCTTCCTTTATTATTATTTGATTATAAAGGTAATGGTAAAGGTACTCTCCCTCCTAGCATCCGCTACTGTGACTTACAATTGTACAACTTTTGTTAGTAAGTGCTGCCAGCTAATCCTCTAAAAGTCACAGGGACACAGCAACTGTTCCTTTCAGTACTTAGACCTATCACACTATCCCGAATTTTTTTTTTTTTTTTAAACAGAGCTGAGGACCAAACCCAGGGCCTCTAGCAAGCGCTCTACCACTGAGCTAAATCCCCAACCCCTATCCCGAATTTTTTAAAGAGTTCTTCTTTCCTGCATGGAAACACAAATAATTACACTTCTTTGTGTACATGTAGAAACACAGGGGCTGGCCTTGGATCATTTGTGGAGGTCAGTGGACAACTTCTGGAATCCATTCTATCCACTGTGTGGGTTCTGGAGATCCAATTCAGACCCTCAGGCTTGACAGCAAGCACCTTCATCTGCTCAGTCACTTTGCTGGCCCAGCCACATAAATTACAGAGATAAATGAGTCCCCTGGTACAAGGGCACCTTTTACAAAGCTGAAAATTTCTTTCTACTCTTTGCTACGTTAAAACAACTGTCACTTAAAAGAGTCCTGTTAAAAGCAGACTTCTGGCTAGACAGCACAAATTAAGCCTGTCCACACAGGATCTACAAGACTAGTGCTTCTGAGGCATATTAAAGTTAGATCCTGTGTCATTTTGAATAGCACTGTAATTACATTTTAAACTTTGAAATCACTAAAAGACATGAACATCCAAGGAACCTCACTAGAAGAGGGCTGGCCTTTTCTGACTGGAACCCTCATTAGCCACCGGATATAAGGTCAAACGTGTTACCGTCAAGTTCTTTCCTCCTACCTCCTACCCCAGTGGAAACTGAACAAATATACACTTAGTGGACACATTCCCACTGGTATTACACCATGAACTGAAAGTCTGACAAAGTGGGCAGGAGAATTAATGCTTCTCTATACAGCCTGTCCAGTCTTTCACCAACTACAAGAATGTTTAATACTAGCTTAATCTAAGAACTCCATTCCCACCCACGGCAAATATCAGCTGTTTGTCTTAAAGATTACACTTCATTATCAATTCTAAATCCAACGGCACAGTTGGGGAGGGGGGGTTGTTTTGGGTTTTTTTTTTTTTGAGACAGGGTCTCACTCTGTAGCTCCAGCAGTCCTGGAACTCTGTAGACCAGGCTGGCCTCGAACTCGATCTATCTGCCTCTTCCTCCTGAGTGCTAGGATTAAAGGAATGTGCCCTTACGCCCAATGGCATATTTAAAAGTACACTGTGATGGTGGGTCTTCAATCTATGTACACCAACACTGTGAAAGCATTCTTAATGTCTCTCTGTCTTAGTATCAGACCCTGGCTAAAATATTCTGGTTGTCTCATACTTCTTAACTTTTCCATACAATATGGTTACGTATGTGAAGACATTACTTTGGTGGACAGTCCTTAAGGATTTTATATTTGCTCTTTTAAGTTACAAAACTGCACATCATTAATTCCAGAACTTTCTGTGCAATCTAGAAGTTAAAACAGTTATTTTGATAACCTTTTCATGTACTGTACTCTAAAAACAATCTGTCACCAAATGAGTAAAAACCATTTTTAACTTTTGAATGTGGGGCTTCTCCTAAAACAAGACAGAACACCTAAGATTTAACCCAGTTTCATTATCACCTAACAACAGTAACGAAAATGGGCTTTAGTAAAAGGTGGCGACCGTTTCTTCTTTCGGAAGACACAACCTAACACTAGGCAGGAGATCTGCTCTAACAGGCTAGCTGCGTGCGGCAGGCCCTAACTTCTGACAGCAAACTGGCACGGATTTCCTTTCCGAAAGCAGAAGTAAGAGCGAACGCACCAACCACCTGCTTTCGGACAGCTCAACTTACGATCCGCTCTTGCCCAGCCCATCGAGTTTTCGACAAAATCTTATGTATAAACTGCCCCCTGATTAAGTGCGACCAATTGAAAGGCAATAAATCGTTTGCAAACAGTCACCCGCTGATTTTTAATGAAACTTTAGTTTTCCCTGGAGACTGCAAATGAGCTAAGAACCAGGAAGAATTCTTGGAAAACCGAGGCGCTTGAGGAGGAGGCAACAAGTAAAGCCCGGCCACGAGGGGCCTCTTAGAGCGAAACAACTTACTCTGAGGCTGGGTGGCCAGGAAATGGGCTCGTACTCTGCAACCAGCCAGAGGAAGAGGCCCAGGCCGGCTCCACAGCCCGACCCCGGCTTTGA